AGCGGTAGCATTTCCTGGTAGAACACTGCCCTGCAGCCTCGTGGATCAGCCTCTTTCCGTTTGCCCCTCTGTATCAGAGGGATGTTTGCTGTGTGGTGTACTGAATGTTTACATGCTGAAAATGGAGTAATAGTCTTCCAGGCCTGTAACAAATTCCACAAGGAAGATGGTGGACCCTGTTGCAAAAACTTGTTGAGCACCTAACGCTGGGGCTGGTAGATGTGAGCAACTGTAAGGAGATGCCATGCGTCCTGCCACTGCGGTTTAGGGAAGGAAGCCCCTCCTAGGAGTAGAATGTGCTGGTAACCAGTAGCCTTTATGTTTAGCTTATCCCCTTGGTAAGGACTAGGCTGTGACCACAGCCATCCTGGTCCAGGGCACCCAGGAGATCTACAACAGGCTACACACTTGGAAATCAAGAAGAAGCCACTGATCCAGGAGACATATGTATGACTTCAGGACCTTACATCCCCACCCTAACCTCCACATGGAAGGACAGCTGGCTGGACCTTGGTCACCCCATGGGATGACCAGGGTTAGGACAATGTTGATGAAGAAGGGAAGGTGACTGCAGTGCCTGTGTTTCCCTCTGCACAGAGCCCCAGGTCAGTCTGCAAGGCAGCACTCTGCTTCTTGGCTTCTTTACTAGACCACACACTTCCTGTGCCCAGACGGTCACAAGTTAGTCACAGTGACGCTGGGATGCACTGAGGAGTTAATCCTGTCAGAGCATGTGACAACAGTTACAATCAGTGCTTTCCATTCTGAGTACTAGACTTTTCTTTTTGTGTTTAGCTTGTATATGTGGTGTGTGAATGTGTGTATGTGTTTGGGGACATGTGTATGAGGGTGCATATACATGTGTGTGGAGAAGCTAGAGGGTGATATCATGTGTCATCCTTGACTGCTCTTTACCCTGCAGATTGAGGCCAGTCTCCCTGTGAACTCAGAGCTCGCTGACTCTCTAGTCTGATAGCCAGCTTGCCCTGTGCATTCCTGCCTCTGCCTCCCAACCTGTGGGATTGCAGGTGGGCTGCCACACCATCCTGAATTATGTGTTAAGTAGGCCTAGTGCTCCCTCAGCCAGAGCTTACCTAGATGCCGGCTTGTTTCTGAACCTCTAGACTTGCTTTTAAAGAAGACAGGGTGTCCCAGCGAGATGACTCAGTGGGTAAAGGGTAGAGATCCCTGTCACCAAGCCCACTGACTTGAGTTTAAGCCCAGGCACATACGTGGTAGAGGGAGAAAAGTGACTCTTACAGGTTGTCCTTTGATCTCCATATATGCACTGTTATATGTGCATTACCCCGCAACACACAGTCACACAGAATAAAACATCTTCAATGATGGGGCTAGGGCTCGGACTCAGTGCTAGCATGCATGTGTAACACTGTAGGTCTGATCCTAGACACTGCAGAAAACAACAAAGTAAAAATTTAAAAAAAAAACAAAAAACAACCCAGTCATTTCTCTCGTTGAAAAAGAGTCATGTGATGGAGCAGAATCCTCCTAACTTTTCTCTTAGTTACCTTACAGAACCAAAGAGTAGGTCTGTTAATTTCCTTGAGATGTGTTATTTTTCTAATGTTTGTATTTCAAATACTTTCCAGGCAGTTTATCAGTTACGCTGTTGGCTCTCTGGCCCATGGTAATGCCGGGCTGATAGTGAGGCTTGCTCTGCCTCCTCCCCATCCTGTCCTCTGGGAACTCGGCGTGGCCCCACGTGTCTCCTCACCCAGCCTTTCAGTGTGTGTGTATGTGGGGTGTCGCCTGGACTCACACTCACTGTACCGTCTTAGCTCTCTCCCACCTTGTAGCAGTATGCCCAGCACGCTTGTGTCGAGTCCATTGTTAACGATGTTTGTGTTAAATCTTTAGTTTCTTGTCTTTTGTTAAAGAGAAATTTGATCTCCCCTTGTCTGTTTTCAAAAGCGTTCGTTAGTGATCAGTGATCCTGCCTGTGGCTCTGAAAGTGCAGTGAGGCAGCACTTGATTCGTGTGGTGCGGGGTGCTGTCTCAAAGCTAACAGGGAGTCTGCTTATGGTGATTTGTCTGAAGGAGATCTCACAGAACATTCCCTGTGTGAATTCTACTGATGTGTGTGTGTGTGTGTGTGTGTGAGCGCGCGCGCGCGCGCGCGTGCGTGAGCGCACATGTGAAATTGAGTCCAACCTTCAGGAGTTGGAACTCTACTTCACCATGTGGGTTTTAGGAATCGAACTTAGGCCATCCAACTTGGCAGCAAGCACCTTCCTTACTGAGAGGCCTCCTGCCCCTCGGTTTGGTGTTTTGAAGCAGGGTCTCACTACGTAGTTATATCTTGCCTGAAACTCCCAAGTGTTGGGGTTCTAGGTGTGTACTGCTATGTCTAGGAATGCATCACAGTTTTCTGTATCATATGGACTGATATTTAAAATAGATTATTTGTGGGGCTGGGAGATGGTTCCACAGTTAGAGCACCCATGACCTAAATCTGTTCCTAGCAGTCATGTTAAGCTACTCACAATGGCCTTGCTCCAGGGGATCTAACACCCTCTTCCGTCCCATGGACACTTGTACTATTGGCATGCATGCACACAAGTAAATGTACACATAAATAAAATTATAAAAAGAAAATAGTTTGTTTTAAATAGCCCAGATGGATCTGGATTTTCTGTAACTTGGAATTTGGATGTATTGTGCAAATAAATTTAACCTGGGATACTTAGTGATTTTGATGACTTTTGACAAGTGAAGATGATAGCTTTTTTTTTTCTTTTTTTGCACCGAGCAGAAAACTGTCACAGTCTGTTGATATTCTCACCATTTATGTCATTTGTGTCTGTTTTCTGGTCATGATCATGGCATATGCATGCACAAACAGCACCTTGGGTTTTCAGCTTCCTCCCTCTAAGCGTGCTCACCATGAAGCCAGAGTCACACTATGACTTCCTCCAAAAAGTCATCAAGCCCCATATAAAGTGGTCAGACCACTGAGGCGTGAGAATGGTAGGAGACAGAGCCCACTCACTGCCAGCAGTGAGACTGCTGCCTTCCGGTCAGGGTCACTGGACTGAACTGGCTGTCTCCTGTAGGTTCTAGAACTACAAGGCTGGCTTACCTGCATGGGTAGGTGGTGTTCAAGGAAACCGCTGGCAATGGCTTCCAGAGTGATGAGTCTTATAGACCCTAATCCAGGCAGTTCTCTGCTGAGGATTCAGAAGCTAATGAGAAAAACTTCAGAAGGCAGCAAAAAGATTGACGGCTTATACAAGCAGCAAGCGCAGAAGCATGTAGACCTCTCAGTGAGGCACACTTGACCTCCAGCACTGTTGAGGGTTTGTAGACAGCGACTGCTCCACTTGTTGTTTGGACGCTGACTCTGTCCTTGAGGGAAATCAATAACTTCAAAGTAAGAACAGTAGTGATCAGAGTAACATATAACTTCACCAAGCCCCTGTGCATAGCAGCTGTGTTCTGCCCGGTCCATTCCCAGACCTTTATGTGCTGTAGTCACGCAGAACGGGTGGCTTTCGGGTCATCCCTCTGCAGCTGCACCTCCAGACAAGGGGTGGGGAGCACATGGTGGTATGGGGGGTGGGATTTACCAGCAATCAAAACAATGGAAGTTAAAATAGTGAGAAGTTGATTCACTTATCTTATGAGGGAAAAAGTGATTATAAGCAGAGCCAAGACAGTTCTGCAAGCCCATCTGCCCTCCACATACCAGGGCGACTATAAATTGGAGTGGCTTATCTAAGATGGATTTGACAGTGTGATCCATGATCTACTCATTCCTTTTGTAAGAATTTAATCTCAATGAACTGAGACTTACATCAAGTGCTAGTGAACTTGGTGATGTGTACCTGTAATCCTAGCTCTTGGGAGGAAGAGGCATAAGGATGGGCATTCAAGGCCAGCCTGTGCTACCTGGGGCCTTGCATCAACAAGTTAATAATCAAAACAGCAATAGCAAAAACTCTAATGAATAAAACAGAACACAGTGGCCAATTGCCTGGGCTTTCTCCTTTCATTTCTCTGGATAAACAGTATTCCATAATATACTAAGATACTCCTGGGCACTAGGATTTTAAAATGCCCTGGATTCAAATGTGCAATCCCTGGCAAAGTAAGTTCCCAAGACAATAATATCATCACCCTGTGGGAACTTAACCCATATATAGTATGGTATCCTATCCAGTAGCACTGAGCTAGACAGGAAAGGTACCCTGGGACCTGGCAGTGTGCCTTGTAGGTATCCCTCAGTGGTTCTGTCATGTGCTGTAGTGCAGTGCTTTGAAGAGCAGACCCCTCAGATTGCTCAGTTGGTCCAGGCTATGTCTAACCTGTGCTGCAAGTGAGCTAGGCTGCTCCTCTGTGGTGCTCCCTTAATCCAAGGGCTCAGAATTTGTGAGATCTGTGTCCTGTCGAGTACAGCCAGAATCCCTGGTGTTCCTGTGGATAGCTTGCTGCTGCCACTTGGTCCTTGGTGACAACACACAGGTTATCCTCCAACCATGGCTGATGAGACTTGTTTTCTTTACAGCTGGCAAAGTCCTGTGACCGGGAACTGTCCTAGTCACTGTCCTATTCTGTGAAGAGACACCATGACTCTTACAAAAGAAAGCATTTAATTGGGGCTTGCTTACAGTTTCAGAGGTTTAGTCCATTATCATTATGGTGGGTAGCATGCTGGCAAGTCGGCACTGGAGCAGAAGCTGAGAGCTGCATCCTGATCCATCGGCAGAGAGACACTCTGAGCTAGTCAAGCCCACCCCCAGTGACACACTTCCTCTACCAAGGCCACACCTCCTAATCCCTCTAATCATTTCACATAGTCCCACTCCTTGGTGACTAAGCATTCAGTTATATATATGAGCCTATGGAGGCCTTTCTTATTCAAACTATTGCAGGGACCAATTTTTCAAAGGTGGTAGCACAAGCCTGACCTTCAGCATCCATCATTGAAGTCGACAAGGGTGTGTTTTGCATCACATAACATCTGCCTCTCTGTTTTGCAGGTTTTTAAATCAACCCTCTTTAGCATGGTCCTCTCAGCCCCATGTTGGTAGCGACCACACCTACAGGAGCAGAGGAAGGCAGGAGGGCTCCAGGGACCGAGGAGACGTGGAAATCAGAGGAATGGCTCAGGCCCACAGTCTACCCATCCATGTGAGAGAGAGTCCATGGGAAGTCGCAGGAAGGACAGAGCATGTGATGAGAAAGGCCGTTTGGGAAGAAGAGCTGCGCATGCCAGGTCCTGCTAAGTGGCAGAATGTGAGCCTGGAAACCTGGAAGCAGCCAAGGAAGTTAGGGAGGCAAGTGTCTGATGGTGAGAGAGAGAAAATGTTCCGGGATCTGTACCAGTTCGTTCAAGGAGACCACGTGCCCATATCTCAGAGCAAAAAGAAATCCCAGTCATTGCCTCGAGTTCTTTCTCCTGAGAGCCTGAGTTTCACAGAAATTCCTGTTTCGCTGCGTGATGGGCACTTAACGGGTATCCCCAAGGTGCCACCATACCCTCCCAGCTGCCCACCGCCTTTGGAACCCATGAGGAACCTCGAGAAGTCTAGTTCTTCAGGCCCTTTTCCCAGGCCTAAGTTCGGGAAACCCCTTAAGACTCAGTGTCGCCGCTCTCAGCCACAGCCCAAGGGAGAAGACGGATTTCAGGACCCCCAACCCCGGGAGCCACGTGGCTCCTACCCAACAAGAAGTAAGGATTCCAGGCATGAGCTGGGTATGCTGGATACTGGCTTGGAGCCTCCAGTGTATGTGCCTCCACCTTCTTACAAGTCACCCCCCCAGCACATTCCAAACCCCTACCTTGAAGATCCTGTGCCCAGGCATCTGAGCAGCAGCCAGAGTCAACAGCAGCAAGTGCCTGAGAAAGCTGAGGCCAGTTGTCCACTTCTTCCTGGCTCCCTTGCAGCTAGGACCCTCTATGGTGCCATGCCTGGCTCTCCCCGTCAAGGTCTTCCTCCACACCCCTATGTTGCCGCCCAAGGGGCTTCTATTCAGTACATCCCATTTGACGACCCACGGATCCGACACATCAAGCTAGCTCAGCCCCCAGAATTCTACGAGGAGGCAAAGCTTGATGACAGACCCTACAGCTCTCGCCTCACTGCCCAGGAGACAGCTCTGGGGAGGAGACAGTACGATGGTGCCCTTTTATCCCCACAGGACCCAACACCCCCATCAGTCAGTGAGCAGGGCTTAGCCTTTGCCCGTTCCAGTCCCCGGTGGCTGCAAGGCCATGTCTCCATGGACACTGAACATGGAGGTTTCCCCAGCCAAGCTGAAGAGCGTGTCGTGAGAGAACTAGGGACTGACGGAAGAGACAGCCAGGCAGAAGGTCATGCCTCTTCCCCACAGCCACAGAGTGAGGGTGCCTGCAAAACCTACACTAAGCTCAGAAAGTTTGAAACTGGATTTCAAACCAAGAAAAGTTCAAAGAAGAAAACCAGCGCAACCATATTTTGTTTGGTTTCTGTGCCAGTTAAATCTGAGTCACCTCTGCCAGACACGGATACGAACAACAATGACTTGAAATTGGGGGCCGCTAAGGCGCATGGACTGTGTCAGCGTGCAGCCCTGGAAGAGCAAAGCCTGTTGAGTATGTCTTCCACCGACCTGGAGCTGCAGGCCCTCATGGGAAACATGGCTTGGAGAAGAACATCCCCAAGGCAAGGTCTGGGGGAGCCAGAAGACTTGAGTCAAACTGATGACCTCAGAATCCTCCACCTCACCAAACCCAGCGAGCTCCAGCCTGCTGGCTCATGGCCAGGCTACCAGTGCAGAGATCAGCAGACCCAAACCAGTTTCCCTGAAGACACCAAAAGCTCACTTCTCCCCCTTGCCATAAAACCGGGAGAGCCCGACAATGCATCCCTGACCCCAACATGCCCAGAGCCCACTGATTCCGAAGTATGTGTGCATGCAGCCTCAGCATCTAGTGACCAAAATCAGAAGCCCAGTGGACCTCACCTCCGAGGCCAGATGTCCCTCAGCCCATCTCAAAACAGTGCTTTCTCAAGGACTTCCTCAGCCATAAACCAGGCATCTATGCCAAAAGGGGCCTCTGGTCAGCCCCCTAGGGCCAGCCCTGTACCCAAGCCAGAGGTGGTGAAGGGGGAGCCTACAGCAGGCCAGTGCAACAGCACACAGCTCTTCGGTCAGTTTCTCTTGAAACCAGTTAGCCGCAGGCCCTGGGATCTGATAAGTCAGTTAGAAAGCTTTAACAAGGAGCTTCAGGAAGAGGAAGAAAGCCATGGGGATAGTGGTGGGAGCAGTAATGAGGGCAGCGAGGTGGAACAGCCCCAGGACTGTGCTGACTCCAGAGCTAAAACCCTGAGCCGCCATGAAACCAGCCAGAAAAAGAGAGCAGAGCCGCAGCCTGCAGCGCCGGCGCTCGAGGCAGGGTTCCAGGCAGAGAGCTGGAGAGAGGAACCAAAACCTGGCTCCCCAAGTGCCCATCCTCAGTCCCTGGGCCAGTCTCAGGAGGAAGACAGCAGCGGCGTTCTTGTCCAGTGGGCAGATGAGCGCCTGGTTGCAGAGCAGCAAAGCCAGGAGGTTCCGAATGGGGTGTGTGAGCGGGACATTATTAGTGTGAGTCCTCTAAGCAGAATGGCTCCCAGTGACACAGAAACAGCCCCCTTTTTCTATCTGGCAGAACTGAGAGGAAGTCAAGAACTCAACAAAGTCAGCGATGTTTTAGGGTCTGTGCAGCTGGACAGAGAGACCCCTCCAAATGTGAATACTGGTGAGGAAAGAGACACAGAGGTCCTCCTGCCTTTCGCTGACAGGTACCGAGGTCTCTCAGCATCAGACTTGCGGTCTCTGGGGCTCCCACTGGGACAAGAGCAGAGGGTCTCGAAACCAGAACCTCTGGGTGTAGAGAATACAGTGGAAGTCCTCCCAAGTGAGTCTCTGCAGGAGAGGGCGGAGAGGATCCTCGGCATTGAAGTGGCTGTGGAGTCTCTTCTGCCGGGTGCCAGGAGAGGAGAACAGGGGCAGCTCTCTGAGCATGGTGCAAGTGCCTGCAGCCCGGAGTCGTCCAGAGAGGACTCGTCTCCCAACCTGGCCCCATCGGTGAGCACCGATGCCTTCTATGGCAGGAGAAAGTGTGGCTGGACTGAGAGCCCCCTCTTTGTAGGGGAAAGGGCCCCCCACGCATCTGCGTGCTCAGATGTAGACAGGTTCCCGGGAAGCCAGGACACCGGTCCTGAGCCTGAGAAAAAGGACGGGGAGGCAAAAGCACCCTTCAAGTCCACTCTGTTCCATTCCATGGAAAAGACTGCAGGCGTGGCAGGCTCCGAAAAGAAACTCAGAAGCCCTTCCAGAGTGATTGAGAGTTTACAGGAAAAACTGGTATCGCCCCCAAGGAGGGCAGACGCAGATCGCTTGGTGAGAATGAGGGAGATTAGCTCCCTGTCTCGGATGAGGTGTCTGAGCTCCAGGAGTGCAGACTCCATGGAGGAGCCCGAGCACCTAAAGGCCACCAAGAGTCACGCCTCTCAGGGTGTCATCCCGCAAGAGGAAAATGGGCATCCAGAAGTGCTAAGGAAGAAGCTGTCTGATCAGGACTTGTGGTGTGCAGGTGAGGAGTTGGGCTGGAGGGTGGGTGCTTGGTGTTAGTTTGGAGCCATGTGACCATGACTAGCATGACTAGTTCCTGGGTTCCTAAGCTCAGTGCTGGCAACGGTTCCATAGTGAGATCCTTCGTGCAAGGGTGGTGGTACACGCTTGCTGCCCCAGCACCTAGGACACTGGTGTGGAAAGAACTTGAAGACCAGCCAGGGCTACAAAACAAGGTGCCATCTTTTTAAAAAAGGAAAGAAGGAAGGGGGAGAGAGAGAGAGAGAGAGAGAAGAGAGGGGAGAGAGAGGAGAGAGAGGAGAGAGAAGAAAGAACAGATCTGGCCAGCAGGTCAGGGCACTTGCTGTGCACACTTGGTGATGGGACTGCATCTCTGAGCCCCAGGTAAAAGCCAGGAGAGAACCCAGTTCATAGAGTCAGGGATCTGCAGACATGCACAAGAATAATGAATACATGAAAAAATCAATCAAAGTCATTTTTTAAAAATTACCCAGAAGCTTTCTCAATTAAGAATCAAGATCTTGTCCTGTATTCTGAATGATTATATTATTGTTTTAGTTGGCTAAGAACACATTAAATGAAATTGTCCTTGTAAACAGCTTCTGAGTATGCTGCAAAGGGGACGTTACATGGAGCACTCCAGCCTGGCCGCGGCAGCTCAGGGCCACATGGTGGATCCAGAACGTTTGTGCGCCTTTTTTCTGCCAAAATAATAGGCATTCACCCAAAGGGCCCTGCTGATGGCTCTTTGTCAGCTCGTTATTTTACTTTTTGTTGTTGTTTTGAGATGAGGTCTGTCTTTGTCAACCAGACTGGCCTCCACTTGCGGAGACCCGTCTGCCTCCAGAGGCCAGAAGAGGGCATCAGATCCCGGAGACTGGAGTGGTAGACAGTTGTATAGATGTAAAATATACCCCGAGCTTTCAGAGTCTCAACACGGAAGAACCTGAAATGTCTTAATACTTTTACACTGAAATGTTACATTGTTGATAGTATTCTGGAATGATTAATATAATATATTTTAGGTATATTTGGTTAAATAAAGTATGTTATTACAGGTAACTTCACCTGTTTCTGTTTTAATGTAGTTATCAGACACTGTACAATAACATTACATGGCCCACACTGTTTTTGTTGGACCTAGACTGTCTGTGAGCTAAAGAACTTATTGTTCTAGAGAATTCTTTCCATGACTCCCCATATTTGAGTCCTTAGCATCAACTATAGGTCTTGGGATATGGGTACATTGTGTACCAGAAACAGAAGGGAATAGTTTAGTGCCTGGGTCCTGTGTGATTTGAGGCTTGGTCCCTCCCAGGCATCTCTCTCCCTTATTAGGCATGTGGCACTTCACATTCTCCGTCATTAACAACTCCACTGTATTCTCAGTACATTTTTCAGTACATGAAAGGAGCCCTCAGAATCAGCATGCCTTGAACCCCACATATAGTACTGAGCTATAACTATCTTCTAGTGTGGTCATGTGGTGTTACTAAGGGCAGTGTCAAGAGGTACTAAGCTGTGGGAACTCTCCTTCCTTTAGCCAGGTGGGCTTGGGGTGGTCTGCCATGTGAGCTGACTCCAGAGTCTTCCCTGAGTGCCAGCCCTGTCTCTCTAGCACGTGGCACCTGTAGTGTGCTTCCAGCACATTCTTAGTTTTTGCCACCGTAGTGCCTGGCATGCAAATGTGTGCCAGTCAGGGAAAGGACGTGGTGTGGCTTTAGGCTGCAGGCGGTGGGAGGAGGCCCTTCAAATGGCATCTTTCTCCAGGTGAATTTCGGAGCCTTCTTTTCTAATTGTTTTTCTATAAAATTGTGCCATCCTGCAGGCTTTTACAAATCGCCGTCTAGGCTATGGTAAACCTTGCTGTTACTTTTTCTCTATCCTTGTTGAGGTATTGACATTAAGTGCATCTTTAAGATGCACATTGTGTGTGAGTGACCATATAGTTTATGCTAAGTAAGATGATCAAGTTCATTAGCATATCCACCATCCAGCCGCCTCTTGATGGAGTCAAGAGTCCGTGCGCTGTGAACTGCACCCACCCTGCTGTGCCAACCTCAGGCACCTGTGCATCTTACAGTTGCAGTTTATACTCTTCCAGTGTCTCCACCCTTCCCCAGCCCCCAGCTCCTGGAATACAGGCGTCACTTAAAGAACTACGTGACATGCAGCCTCTTTCTCAGCTTAGCACAATGTCCCCAAGGTTTATCATGTGTCATTTTAACTGACAGGATCCCCACCCCTTTTTGAGACTGAATAATGTTCCACTGTGTGTTTATTTATGTATAGACAAAAATTTTCTTTATTTGTTCATCTGCTGTCAGACACATGGGTTGTTCCCACCTCTTGGCATAAACAGTGCTCTATAACCGGTACAGAGCATGGATGTGCGGTCATTTTGATTTCCTTTCCCAGTAGTGACGTTGCTGGATTATAGAGGACTTCTATTTTTGTTTGTATGGTTTGAGGAATCTCTATGTTTTAATAGCTATTTTGTACTCTTATAAATTTATCAACCATTATTTTTTCATAAAAATTTAAGAACGCTAAGGCAGGGAGCTCTGAGCTCAGGAAGCACACAGGTGGGCCTCAGGTGGGCCTGGCTTCTGGAGCTCCGAAGTGAGAGCCTCCGCTCAGCAGCACGTGTTTCCCATTCCGGTGGCAGCTGGGTTACTGTCCCTCAGTACATGCTCCCTTTGGGAAATCCAGGTCACCAGAGCTCAGCGTGAGATGTTTCCAGTGCAGGCTGTGGAAGGTCTAGAAGGTGTACTGAGAGGCCAACGACCCGTCCCAGTCCTGCCTGCTGGCTGGTAGCAGCTAGAGATAGGAAGCCTCTTCCTTCTGGCCATGTGTTTGACATTTCAGGTTCCCCAAGCCTGGAAGAAAAGGATTTGGCCATAAAGATGCTTTCATTTCCTCTCAAGGAGGAATAGGCATGCAAGGTTCTGAGTTCACATCTCTACAGCAGAAAAACCAGCCGTAGCAGCATGCCTGAACTCTCAATGCTGACACAGTCAGCTCTGGACTTCTGCAGATTATTGGCCAGCCAGATCAGGCCAGGGAGCTCCAGGTTCAGCAAGAGACATTACCTTAAAAATAACATGGTCACAAAGTGGAAAACAGTTGAGGAAGACCTCCAATATAAACCTCTGGCCTCTGTGCACACTTGGGTGCACACACAGGAACACACACAAAGAAAACAGCAAAAAGAATCAGCATTAGGCTAGGGCATTGCTGATGGTGAAGGGCCAGTGAGTTCATTATTTCTATTGTACTATGAGCACCAGGAAGGGCCATCAGTATACTGAATAACTCAGCTTTGCTCATCTCTGTTTATTTGATAATGATTGTGCACATTCCTTGAAAACACGTTTCAGCCATAGTTTCTTACTCTCTGGTGAACAAAGTTTGCTAAAGTGTCTAAAAAGTCAATTTTCTATACATGTGAGTTTTGTTCTCCAATTTATTTAGAGTCAGAGAATTTAAACGTAAAACATGGCAGGTGAATGTCCCTCTGACCTTCCTTCCTTCTTGTTTGCAGATTCATATGATCCTAGCCGAGTGGAGAGGGTGTGACGGATGCTGCTGTAGCCCTACCTTGGCTAACGGAGTGTTCTCTGTGAACTCTGGTGTCTCGGTTTTCAGTGTCTCACCTCCTCCCCGCCAGCGGGAAATGGGCCGTCCCTACAGACTTGTCGTGGAGCTAAAGCCGTGGTGTGCTGACATCATGTGTCTTTATAGCATGGATATAGAATCCCTACATTTAGAAAAGAGTTTTCACATCAGTTCCCCTTCCTGGTGGATTAGGCCGAGTGGGTCAGTAGCTTGGTGTTAATCCAGTTTTATGTGAAAAATCAAATATGGAAGATACAGTGGGTGATTTTGATTGGACCATAATGTCACCCATTCCCTACTGCATCTACCCAGCCCATGCTCATGTTTAGAAGTGTGGCCCAGGCAACTGCCTGGTATTTGGATACTTACAGTTTAAGGGGACTATGAGTGGTGTGTATGACCCATTTTTATTACGCGACCTTTGGCAGCTTGGGGTAACTTGTAAGTAACTGCTACCAGCGGCTTCTTTGTGTTCTGAGGGGTCACACTCACGCTGTAACTTACCTTGGCACTGGAGCCAACACGCCGCGCTCTGCTTTGCACTTGGTCTTCCTAGGTTTTACTTTCTGTGTGAATGTTTAGATATTCTTTATATGAAAAATAATTGCTGGTTTAAAATAGACCATGGTAACAAAGTAACTATATTTCTTTTTATAAAATTGCTATTTTTCTATGATGTATAAACAGTTCTTAGGTGGCAGATTTTTAAGGAAGTGCTATTTTATTTAAGAGTCTATACCCGTGTGTGTGAGGGACCCAAGAGGGCCCGCCTTGGCTCTACAGCCGCATCCCTGCTCCACCCTCAGCGCTGTTCCTGTGATTCAGTTTCACAGTGTTAGGAGGACTGATCACAAGCTCATCACACTCACGAAGATGTTCTCACAGATGGAGCTGTGGGCTCACATTTCAAGTTGCTCCTCTCCAGTTGACCAACAACTGCCTGGTCAACAAGAATTGCCAAAACTCCATCGTTTCATCTTGTATTTCTGTGGGGAATCTGCCCCAGAAAGAAGTGTTTCTCTTGCCCGCCACCTTGCTCCTTTGCAGAAAGATATATTTTTGTCTAGAATGATCCTGATGAATTAATCTTGCATATTCTAACAAGTGCTTGGAAACAGTACCTAGGCAGCATTCTCTGCGCGTATGCCACAATGGAAGTGTAGGAGGCCCAGGGTTCTACTCCCACATCTGCCTGCATACTTGATGCATCTTATGCATTTCACCCTTCTGAGGAAGGTATTCTTGCTAGCTAAGATTTTCCAAAGGTTTTATCCCCTTCTTTCCTCTCCTCCCTCCCTCCTTTCCTCCCTCCCTCCCTCCCTCCCTCCCCCTCCCTCTCCTTTCTTCTTTTTTGTTTCCCTCTTTCTATTAATTTTTTGAGACATTTTGTTAATCTGTTTTCAGACGCGTCAGATTCTTCCAGTGTGCATCCATGGCTGGTCTGTCCTCTGACCCGAGACAGACTTTCATGGCCTTGTATCTACAGAGCAGAGTCCAGGTCCACATTGTTGCTCATGCTCATCTTAGTCCAGAGCTTGGCTCTCGTGAAAGAGGGTATGGGACATAGCCCGGGGGCAGTGGGCTAGCAGGTTGATGATCTGCAATGGTGGTTGAATCATCTGTAGACCAAGTGACAGCTGAGCCACCTGCTGAACTCTGTGGGCTGCATACCCCTCCTTAAAATAGAGTGAAAGAGGCCCTGTGCCTGTGCCCACACATGCAGACCCCAGGGCATGTCTGTGTGCACACTGTGCTGTACTGACTTCCTGTCAAATGACCATCAAAAGACTGCTTAGGAGAAGCAGAAGGATCCTGAAGGAAAGCTGTCGTGCCTTACGTATCTCAGTCTGGAATGGGATGCTCTTCCATTTTGTCTTGTTTGAAGTCATATATGTCATGCTTCCCTGCAGCCATTCAGTCAAAATAGCAAATATTTATACTTTAACCTCAATTTTTCCAGATTTAAGCCCATATGAAATTTTTTTTGGAAGAAAGTGGTAACATTGAACTTAGTAACTTGAAAATTTGATCTTTAACTTTTCATATCCAAAGTAATGAATATCTGGCCAAAAATTGTTTCACTGAGGTCTTGAGTTCAATACTGACCATGATTCCCTATGTAAACTCCACGCATGCCCATGACCATTGGTGGAAAATTTTTCGTATTCTGTGTTTGTCAATTGTTTTTCTCATTACACATGATTGATTTTCAATAATTCGGAGCTTATAAAATTAAAAGTTATAATTTTGACCATTTTATCTAAAAATTATAGCAGGAATTGTGCCTGTGTTGTTTCTGGAATTGCAGAAGGGAGGGGGAAATGGCGGTCTTAGGCCTCTTTGGGGAAAACTTTTTGAAAGATTGAAGATGAAGTAGCCTTTACCATATTCGATTGTATTTCTGTAATCCCAGGAAACCCTCTAAGGATGCAGCCAGTCCCTGGATGGGACCATCAGAATTATTTCCATAATTATAGACATTTATTTCCTTTATTAATAAAGACCCTGGATGTGCATCACCTTTGGTAGTGTGGCTCCCTTACTGGGACAGTAGGTGTGGGTTCTGATTGAGCTGAAAGCCGGGGAAAGATTGCCAGCTGTCAGCCCGTGGCACCCAGAGTATCTGCTCAAGTGTGGGGGTGCACCGGCTGCGGGATTGGCTGTGGGGGGCACCTGGAGTCAGGATGAGGCACTGCCAAAGCTGTTACAGCCAGGGGTTCATTTGCTTCCTGCTTTGTTTTTGACCTTATCTTCTGTACATCTGTGTGTGGGAGGACAGGGTCTAAGAGACACATTCCAAATAGCCTGAGTGGTGGGAGGTCCTTGTCCCAGACCGTGGGTTGGTTCACTCTGTGACCCTCAATTGGAAGAAGGGGGAAATGATCAAATACTACCATAGAAAGGCTGCTCCCAGCCTGTATGTTTTGTTAAAAGAATGGTGAGGTCAAGTCTATACATTCAGACCGCAGCCCCTTGAAAAGGTCCCTGTGGTGTGTGACTGCCTGCTCACTACAACAGTCCAGGCTTCAGCAGCATTGTGAAAGGCAGCCTAAACTCCTGCCTGTTGATGGCCTTGACTTTGAGAGCATCTGTCTTAATTGGAATTATTAATGTAATGCAGGCCAGGGAAGGGCTCAGGAGGCTGCAGACAGCCCAGTCTACAGTCTGTAAGCCTTCTCACAAGATAGAGCTGTCCTGCTGATACAGCCTCTCCCATCTTCCTCCCTGCACCCACACCTCACAGCAGAGCCCAGGTGTGTGACACTGAACAAGAGGGAGACCAAGGCAAGTTCAGGGCGAGAAGAGGAACTGGGAAATGAAGACCACGTGTCAGAGTCAGGGAAAACTGTGACCTTTATCCAGATGGTAAACATCCATGAAGAACTTACCATCTGGGTCAGCTGCCACTCCAGCCTCCACTGAGGCCTGTCAGGAAAACTGAGCATGCCAAAAATCATAAAATGTGGTAAGGCCCTGGAACCCAGAGGAACCATGCATGCTTATTCTTTTGCCCAGCTTCCTTAGCTCTTAAGGCAAGTGGAAAGGGTTCTGGAGACTGCCCTGTGTTCACCTCCACATGGGGCAGTCCAGGAAACTCTTGAATAATGGGAAGTCAAGGCAGGCAAGAAACAGTCACACAGAACAAAGCAAAACACAGCAAAGCAGCCAGTGGGATGGCAGGATGGAGGCCTCCAAAGAGCATGCTTCTCTCTACAGTGTCTCAGGATGGCTAACCTGTGCTCCAGATCACTTTCACAGAGCTGTCTGTGTCTACGATCTGACTGTGGTACAAAAGCTACCTGGATACCAAGTGCAGTGGCTCAGGGTATGGGCACTGCAGGACAGGTGACATAGCACCTTTGCTTTCCACCAGGACTCATTAGGGTTGAAGGTCCTGAGTGGGACTTCTCCCACAGAGACTCATTGATGAAGTGACTTATGGTTTGTTCCAAGGACTGGGTACAAATTTCTAGTCATTCATGCACCACTCTCAGTTCTTGGCTTTCTTATCTACCTCTCTTGCAAGGATATAGCTATCTGACATAGAGAAATGAATGGGTATCCAAAGCATGGAGAGTGCAGCCAAGCTTGATATAATGAAGAAAGTTCTACTAGGCACTTTATGGTGTGGGAGGTCCTTCTGTATATGTGTGTTGCTTTTATTGGTTAATGGATAAAGAATCTGCCTTGGCCTGTGATAGGGTAGATAGAGCTACGTGGGGAAAACTAAGCTGAATGCTGGGAGAAAGAAGGTGGAGTCAGGAGATGCCATTTATCTGCTGCTGGAAACAAACATGCCTGAACGTTGCTGGTAAGCCACAGCTACGTGACAATACACAGATTAATAGAAATGGGTTAAATTAATATGTAAGAGTTAGCCAATAAGAAGCTAGAGCAGTGATTTAATTAATACAGTTTCTGAATGGTTATTTCAGGAGTCTGGGCAGCTGGGAATAAACAAGCAGCCTCCCTACAACAATGGCACCAACATGGATAATTACATTCACATAAAACCTTAGAGAGCTTGGGAAGTAATTCTATACACAGAAGAGCAGAGTTAAACACAGCTTTTTAGTAGCAACATTTTCTCAGGTGGGCTCTGTGTGCTAGAGGCAGGCGCTCACATGGAAGAGAGACTTCCTGACTCAGCTTTAGCTGCAAAAACCTTGCAGTTCTCTTTTAAGAGGCTCTGCCACAAAGCACCTAAATGGTGTTTATGAATAGCCTACAGTGTGCTTCTTGGTAATGGCAGGGACCTTGCAACTCCAAAGAGTTGTGGCAATAAACATGGCTCCAGCCAGTACTACTGCCATAAGGCTAGACTCTCAGAAAACTAAGAAATGGGTGGATCCATCCATCAAAGTCACAACTCTAATCCTAGCCATATTTCTTAGCAAATTAAAGACTCATGTGGTTAGAAAATGAAAGATAAACAGTAAAGTTAGATTCATTCTGGGTTAAGGAAAATCAGGTTTGATCAAGGATGACCCCCTGAGAAATCTCCAATAGTAGCAGATGGCCCAGATGTCTGAGTTCTATATCCAGAACATTTTCAAGACTGCTGGCTGAGTTGATCAAGCTTCACAGAATACTTCAGTCAGGACTTGATCATAATTCTCAATTTTCTTTAGGTCCGCATAAGATTATCATCACCCCCAATAAGCAGGCAGTAGCCTAGAAAACTATGCCCACATTCCCAAAAAATGAATTATAGATGTTTGTCTTTGTTTAGAATGTTGGTTACAAGTTGTTATGGATAATGGTCAGGAAGAAAGCTAAACAAAGGAGATTAGATTCAAAATAATTGTTTTGAAAAAAGGCAGAGTGTTATGGGACAATGATCTTGTACCCAGTAAAGGTTTATCAGTTGTATTGCTTTAATAAAATGCTGATTGGCCAGTAGCCAGGCAGGAAGTAGAGGTGGGATGACCAGACAGAAAGTAGAGGTGGGACAACCAGAACAAGAGACTTCTGGGAAGAGGAAAGAGTTTGCAGTCATCACAGAAGAAGTCAGACACAGAGGAAGCAAGATGAGAACACTTCACTGATAAAAGATCCCAAACCTATGTGGCTGACACAGACAAGAATTATGGGTTAATGTAGGATGTCAGAATTCATTAATAAGAAGTCTGAGCTAATAGGCCAACCAGTTTATGATTAATGTAGACCTCTGTGTGTTTCTTTGGGACAAAACAGTTGCAGGACCTGGCAGGACAGAAATCTCTGTCAACAGATTTGCAGGCTTCTGCTAGAGGATCCTTGTTTTCCAGGGGCTCTACTTGTCCATCATGACTGTTTTGTAAGCTCAGAGGAACTCCGTGTCCCATCATGCTTTTGGCTTGCTGTTGCTGCTAATTAGAATAGTAAACCAAGCTGCTTTTCCTGGTTTTTTAAAAATTGTGGCCAGTGAAATGGCTCTGTGGGTAAAGGTGCTTGGCCATAAGCCTGATGACCCAACTTTAATCTCTGTGACCAAGATGGTGGAAGGAGAGGGCTGACTTCTGCTTCCCACGTGTGTGCTATGGGACAGATGCACACAACACATACATCAATGAATCCACATAAAACTTCTTGCATGTGTGTGTGTGTGTGTGTGTGTGTGTGTGTGCGCACACACACACACACACACACACACACACACACACACTAACAACTTGAAACAGAAATGCATCCTTCCTTCCAGCTGGAACTTCTGTCTCCTCCATTGGCTTTTATAGGCTGATCTCCTCTCTGCCCAGATGCCATGTGTGTGTGGCTCAGGCTTTCTTGTTTGGGACCTTGGAGGCTATCCCAAATTTTCAGTTCACATTAAGATGTCAGTTTCAAAGTAAGGACTTTCCCCCACTTGGTTGATAATTTAAATCACAGATTAAGGTACAAATGAAAAGTCTCCTCACCAAAGCAACACTGTAAAATGAAACACAATTCCTAGGCCTGGTGGTCCCACTCTAGAACTGGCTCTGCTCTTAACCAGCCTTTAACTTGACTACCCACCTTGGAATGGGAAAGGGGGTTTGAACTTTCTATAGTCTTTTTTCCAGCTCTGGGATTGGGTAACTAGTTTTTGGCAAACCTGGAATTGATAGAAATCCTTGCCATGCCTGAGGGGCAGAAAGTAAGATAGTTGGAAGTTGTGGCTACGTGAGTCTGAATCGGGGCCTGAGGACTGGAACCCCGCTGTTGTTACCTCAACTGGGGTGCTCCTCTCCTGCTTCACTTGCCTCATTGTAACTCTGCATCCACTTGGGGCTGGTGGTACTGAATTTTGGGGCAGGACATGGGGTGTTTACAAGCCTGGCTGCAGCCCCCAACACAGCAGTCTGTGCTCTCTGCAGATGGCCTGTCCTGCAGTGTGGAGTTCGAGGTCTTCACATGCTCTCAGCAGCAGAGTTGCTCCTGTCAGGTTTGCTTAGACCTCACAGGCGACCTCTTTTCTGGGTGCTCGGTCAGTTGTCTGCAGGCTGTAAACATTGTCATTGGCAGGGATCTGGAGACAGCATTCTGTGGGGTTCAGTGTTGATCCACGGGTCCAGTGGCCACTGGTTTGGTTTCAGTGGGAGAGCCCAACTGTAGTTTGGGTTTAAACAGAGTCCAGACCCTCCATTTGCTGTTTCTTTTCTTCACTGACTCTGTCCTGTGCTTCCTGCAGCCTGACTGCTAATGTTTCTGCCCAGCTCAGCCCTGCTGGAATACTCTGAGCTTCTATTTGTGGAGAGATACTGTGCCTTTCTTTACCGAGCATTTGTTTTGGGTACTCCAAACACACAACATGAAGACAGAAACATTATCAGTTCCTTGCTCTGTGTCACGTCTCGTATGTGTTGACTAGTCTAATGGACACCAAGTGGGCTGAGGGAAGGTGAGGAACTGCTTGGGGCACATCATTTGCAGCAATCCCAGGATCCAAGCCTGTTTCTTTAACCAAGTGCATGCTGGTCATCTTAGCTTCCTGTATCCTGAAAAGATAAGAGAACCTATTTAGTTAGAAAATGCAACGGTAGAGTTCTTACAATGCTGC